AAAGGTCCCCACTGAATTCAAAGAAAGTTCACCTCTGATATCAAAGAAAGTTCAAAACTGAACTCAAAGTTCACCACTGAAATAAAAGACAGTTCAACCAGTGACGTATGCCGTAAAGCAGGGGACAATTGTAGTTGTTCTGTGTGGCACGGTTAATTCACCCTCCTCAAAGTTAGTGCTGAGTGCTGGTGAAAGCGATACAGACCCCCTTTGGCGTGTACCGAGGTGTCATTCAACTAGTTTTAAGTTATGAAAATATTTGATGAAGTTAAAAAGTTCCTTAGTGTTGGTTTACTCTAACATTACATTATCACTTATTGCCACTTTAAATTAGGGCAACACATTAAATCCATTCACCTCAGATTAAGGTTTCCTCACCTTTCTCTCAGTTTCCAAATATTAAACCAAGAAATCTCCAAACCTCAAATTTTTTTTTGGTTTGTGTTTCAGCATTTTTAGGACATTAAAATAATGCAGAGCATTTCGCACGCAGGAGTGAAGGGTTATTTAAAAAAGTAAAAAAGATAAAAGCTTTTATGGTTCAAATAAACATGAGAAACATTTACCGTACATGAAGACAAATTAACAAACTTTAGTCTGATTTAATGTCAGAGAAATAAAATAAAGTTATGTGCTTGTTATTAAGTCTTTGTAAACATCTGATTTAAAATGTATCTGCTCCTTTAATCCTGAAAGGCTGCATGAATCGGTGTTGCTCAAGTTTCTGACATCAGTTTGAAAGTGAGACAGAATATCCTCAATGTCGAGTTGGTTTCCCACCTAAGATTCCCCGTCTTGGAGAACGGATCTATGCATTCATCTCTAGAAAGGATCCTGTGGGAGAAAAGTTTCTTTTCCGGATCCAAGAAGCCTAAGGAGGAAGAAGAAAAGACGAACATTAGAGATAAATTTCCACAGTATAACACTATCCCTCCTCTTATCTTAAAACTAAATTAATCCCTCATCATTTTTTTAATGGAGTCAAACTGCTTTTACTGTTTTTATAAATGAAATATGCAGCTTTAACCCCCCCAACAAAAAAAAATAAACGGGCTGATCCCCAGAGCTGCTTTAGCCACATGTGTGCTGCTAAGAACTGCCTTGAGACGAGCTGAACTCTGCGCTATGAGGTCAGCTGCAAAATCCAATTCAACCTGCATTAAACATTCATCACATGGAGGCAGAGCAGAGCCGGCTGCTCTTATCATTTATACCACTATGACTGAAGGACAGCAGCATGAATACCAACAGGATGCTAAATAAATGCATACGTCTAAACCCCTATAAAGGGCCTTGAAACGTTACTAAAGAATAAATCATTCAAAAGAAGAAACAAAAAAGAAAAATCAGCAGGAAATGAACATTGGAAACTTTTCTCCTCCCCAGGAGTGAAGCAAGGCAGAGCATCCGAACCTCAGCTGGGATGTTAGAGCGTGAGCAGACAGCCCCCCCTGATGGACACAAGTGGGAAGTACAAGATGAGGACCTCCAAAGCACCAGGAGGAACACTCATCTATTCCTGTTGATTGTTTTCACATTTTGTCACGCCTTCAAGTACTTCAATGAGTATTTATCGGGATTATACATTTAAAAAAAAAGAGAAATAGTAATATAATTGTTGGAACGGCCCTGTCCCTACGACTTTAAGGTTGCCTTTAATGACTCAATGAGAATTCTTAAAAAAACCCAGGTTCAGCAGTGCAAGTGAGATGTTTTTTAAAGTGTCAGAGTATTCCAGCCACTTATGAGAAATAAAGTTTTCACATCCCTCTCTCGGTGCGCTAAGATACCAGTCGGCTCTGTGGAAACAAACATGACACAATAATGTGTCTATTGAATAAAGTAATCAATCAATTACTATATATTTAACATTTATTCAAAATAACTTGCCCCTTTTACTGTGTCACCCTGATAAAAAAAAACCAGGGCAACCAGCTCCCTGCAGAAACGGCATAGATTTAATCCCAGGAAAAAATCTGAACTCTAATTTAATGCTTTTTAATACTCTTTTAATGATCTTAAAAACATTTTGATGCCATCAAGTACCCATCGAAAGGCCGCAGCCATATCCCGAATTCCTAGTTTTCCAGACAGTTTTGTTGAAATTTGAAATTCTCTAGCTTTTCTCCGCCTCAAGCTGCTTTTCCGAACAAACAGCTTTACGATCAACCGGAATCAGTTCGGCACAAACATATCATGATATAATATGTCTGACGAAATTGTTTTTATAAACTTTTTCTTTTCTAAAGAAAGCATTTTAAACATAATTATAATCATATTTAATGAATTTTAATGCCAAATAAGGCCTTAATTAAAAAAAAAATAATAATAATGATTTCTATGGCCTGCGGACACCCTGGAACCTGATTAATCTGGGCTTTGTTCATCTTCCCATCATAGCTCTGCATAGATTACCTGAACATCAGACTACCACAGCATCATACTGCCACCATAAAGTTGGTTAATAAGCAGTGATTATTTTAATATGTGGGAGGAAAAAAAATCTATTTTATGCACTATGTTTTAAAAGACTACTGAGGCCTTGGATAAACATCTACGCTTTTACAGATAAACTATTAAAATACAGACATGCTGACATTTCCTCCTCGTTTAGGCCTTTAAAGGTAAAGGAAGCTCTATGGAGGTTCAGTTAAAGACCTTGATGCTGTGACGTGACAAAATGTGGACGAGCTTTTAGAGAGCGGGCAGAGCTGCGAAGCTCCAGCTTTAGGAAGGGAACCATTACCGGCGATGGTGTGCGCATACAGGCGGCTCCCGAACGTAAAGACGTGCAGCTCGTAGAGTTTGGCGATTTTCTCCAGGAATTCCTTGCAGTGCGGCCTCAGCCGCGTGTGCAGCATAGGTTCTCCCCGACCGAGCTGGAAGTGGAAAATACCCTGAAGGAGGACAAACAAAAAAATTAAACCTAAGGGGGAGAGACGGCGCAGGATTCCAATGCGAGACGGGGACGGCACCTTATTGGACATGCGCTGGCAGTGCTGCTCAGTGGTGTGGATCAGGGTCTGGTCCAGATCCACCATGAGGACCAGCTTCTTGTTCCGGTGCAGCCTCTGCTGGTCCTCCTGGGCCAGCTGCTTGGCTTGCTTTGGAGAGAGAGAGAGAGAAACGTCAAACCTCAGAACAAACATGGCCGCTTTCCTCTGAGCAGCCTGCGTTTCACTGGTGAAGATTCTCAGTCATCCAGGTCGTAGTCATTCCAAAAGAAGAAAAGTAAAAACAATCTACTTGACTTTTCTTCCAAGTTTGAAGACGTTTCGCTTACCATCCAGGAAGCTTTCTCAATTCAAAATGTCAGGAATAGTATTGAGTTCGTGGTTTTATACAGTAGCCTAACAAAGCCTTGTTTTTGTTTTGAAAACATGCAAATTGAATCAGACGAAGGGCTCCACCCCCTTCAGATGGGGGTCGTGTGGCTTTTTTTTTGTTAGCCGGCAATGCCCCATACCCGTTCAAGTGTCTGAAAGGTCCCATTTAACGACCAACCTTTCAGACACAATAGGGCGGATTATACTTGGGTCTGGTCGCCAACCAGTTTTGCTGGTATGCTCCTGCACCATCGGTCTGGAATTTCTAGGGATGCAAAGCGGTTTCCTGCCAAAGCCTATTCGAGAACTCGGATGGTCAAGAGAACATCGGCGGCGCCGGTGGGAGTGTTTATTTTCTAAAACAACAATGGGGCGTCTGCAAGATATCAAGGTCACAGAGATCGATCTAGAGTTGCGAGAAATCGAGGAGGAATAGGTTCTGTTAATGGAGTTGCCAAAAAGGCTGATTAACCTTTTGTCGTAGCTGTCCGTTATAGTTGGTCCTCTGTTTTTTAAAAATGACGCGCCCCGACACCGAACAGAGAAGGACGACCACACAGACAGCTGGAAAGGCATACCAAGGACCAATCACAGCTGCTTTTTGTCTGCGCACTTCCGCTTGAGGTCTGCGCGGGTTTGCAACCATCCGACGCGTAGTCAGGATTTTTTTTTAAGACAGATTTGACGGTTGCAGAAGCTCTGCGTCAGAAGCATAAATCGGCCTTTAGACGGGTATGGGGCATTGCAGGCTAACAAAAAAAAGGCAAATGACCCCCATCCCAAGGGGGTGGCGCCTTCGTCTGTTTCAATTTGCATGTTTTCAAAACAAAAACAAGGCTTTGTTGGGTTACTGTATAAAACCTTGAACTCTGCGCTATTCCTGACATTCTGAATTGAAAAAGCTTCCTGGATTGGAAGCGAAACGTCTTCAGACTTGGAAACAAAGCCTGCGTTTCCTTTACTCCTTCGCTGCATGATGAACCTGGGAGCCAAACGGGCCGAACCGCCGTTCTACAGCTGTGGTGTGACTCACCTCGGAGCTGACCATCAGCTCAGGGACGCTGTGCACCATGGAGACGGTTGCTGTGGAGATGGGACTCTGCTGGTTGCCGTTCGTCCCCTGGAGCCTGAAAGGGAAAGAAAAGGAGTAGGAGTTCTGGCTGTTTGCATCGCTCGGGTCCTTGAACGTCCTGACTGAACAGATCCACCAACTCAGAATTCATTAACTCATTTCCTGTAAAGTTTAGATTTTTTATTTTTCTGCAGGTTGATCCAGCAGCACAAAATCATCAACATGACTTCAACAAAAAAATATCTGAGCCCCTTTAAGTCGTCACTGGAGGCTCCAAACTCCCAGCTGACGAAGGCCCGGTTCACACTGCAGGAACATATGACCCGAATCAGATCATTTATTTTCTTTCTTTTTAAGGAGGTTCCAGTGATCAGATCAGGCAGTTTAAATCAAGTCAGGACACTCAGATCTGTACATGTCCGTTTTTATTTATTTCTTTTTTTTAAGTCCCCATTTGAGTCTCATTCATATCTGGTCCTAAATCAGATTTTTGATCTATTCTAAGGGTAACAAATAAAAAAAAAATCAGCGGGGTCCGAATAAAGAAGATCATCAGCCAGTAAAGGTCCACAGAAACTCTTAATTATAATCTGACTTTTAGGCGTTACTTTAAACAGAATATAACACTGAAATAAAAAGCAGGTTTTAATGCATCCATGTTATACAATGAATCTTTAAATAAAAGAATATAAAAAAAAAATCTTAAGTGTTTTTTTGAAGTAGAGAACAACAATTGTTCAGTTTGGTATATAGACAATATACTGATTCACATATTTTTATAAAACACCTGAACTGGCTGTTTGTTATTTTTCTTTCATTTTTTTCTGTCTCAATGTTGGCAGTGGGCTTTATGCTGCCCTGCAAGGCTTTAAACCTGGGTTTGAATGGAGACAAAGCCATTCTAAAGCACACATCAAGGAGCTCATTTTGAGCCTGGATCCATATTTATTTTTGATTCTGTTCATGGTGGAGAATCCTGCTTCACAGCAGCAGGTTGAGCCAAACATACTCTAAATGTGCAGGGTCATCTTTGAGCACCATTTCACTTTTCTTTCACCAGTTCACCACAGTTCTTCCAGCAGTCCACACTTTCCCTGCTCTCTTTTTCTCATCTTCTTCTCCTTCTTTCCCATCGAAGAGGAACAGGAGGAGGAGGTTATCCTGCTGTGTCTAAAAGTAGCAGCAGCAGCAACCCAGACTGACAGCAGCTCATTGGATAATTTGTATCACGTGTCGCCTGGTGCCTGACGCTCCAGATGGCTTTACCATATTAACAGGAGAAGCTGTGCAAGTGAAATTAGACACTGTCGCCGGACAACATGCTGTAATTTATAAATCTTTTAAACCAGGTTGGGTCCAGATTAGCGAGCAGGTAATTCCGGATCTGGAACCTGGTCCACTAATCTGTGACTCCTCAGCTATTGGAATGTGACTCTGGTGGGAAGGACCAATGCAGATTAGATGAGACACAGGCGCCATTTTCCATCAAATCTCTCAGAGCGTTTTGCTGCCCATTAGTAAATAAAACAGATCGATGTTGGGGTAGAAAGCTGCAGAAACTGATAGAAAATAGGTGCAATTTTCCTGGAAAAATGTGTAATTGGCCTTAGTATAGGCAGGCCCTTAAGATGAGATGATATCAATGATATTATTATTAAAATAAGATGATAAGGTTGTTATTTTATCTTATTAATTTCTTTATTGTCAACAAATCATCTTTTAATCCACTGACAAATGTTTTCCATTAATCAAATTAAGAGAAAATATTGTGATTTCTAGAAAAGATTAACTTACTAAAATGTTTTGCAGTGTTACACGATGCAGATACGTCTGAACCTTAAGCCATATTCACACAGCAGCCTGAAGTGACCAAAATCCAATATTTTTGCTCATATGCATCCTGTGTCTGATCTTTTCATGGAAGTCTGAACAACCGACATCCAATTTTTTTTCATGTGACCCAGGCCACTTGGCTATGTGGTCCTGAAAACGATTCAATCTGATCTTTTCAAATGGGACCTGTGTCTGAACGGCCCCTTCATCCGACCTGAACGCTATTAACACTCAACTAAGGTCCCTACTCTGCGTCTTGCTACGCAGAAGTGGGAAGAATAACAGCAACCATGGCGGAGGATGATGGGGAGAGCAGTATTTATGCTTAACCATCTTGAAAAGATTTAATTTTTAAGGTTGGGAAAGATCGCTAGATGTGCTCCGGCACTACCATCCGTGTTTACTTCCGTAAACACAGAGTACGCTGGCCTGTGATGTCATTGCGTCCTCTATTGCGTATGCAGGACACTTTTTTAAGTTTAAATTTCTATTTCTAAAAAAAATATCCTGTCTTAAAATCTGTGTTTCTTTTCCGTTATTTTATTCAGCCCAGTTAGTTATACGTCAGCCTGAGCACCTAAATTCAGCCAATCATATAGCAACGGTCATCTGTCAATCGAATTTTTTCGGTCATAGCATCTCGATTTATATATCGCAGCTAATATATTAAACGGTTGAAATAAGAATAATTTCTTTTCCCATTGAGTTCCATCCTCGTGTTCACGGGGATGGACGTCTGTGTCTTCAGCAGGCGTAGAGCTAACAGAACTGGCAGCGGTGCGTCGCAAGGGCTCAAACATGTATTGCTATAGGTACCAGATCTGCTTGGGTCCTTCAATTGCCAGTGACGTTACACTAAATGATTGGCTAAATGTCGCCACATGATGTAAAACATAGTGGTTCCCAAGACAACAATAATAACACAGCGTCCATTAGCGTGTCTAATGACCGATGAAGTTTTACCTGATCAATAAAAAAAATCTGTTTCTGGTGAACAAAGTAACTGTTAGACCATTGTATATTGCTGTAGCTAGCTGTGCTCAGTAGCTAACAGGTTAGCCTCTTTTAGCTCGGGCAGTTAGCCATATTATGCTACACTACTTTTTGAAATTGTATCAACAACAACTGTTTGTTTTCTACAAGCAGAATAACTGTTTTATTTAATGAATTTTATTGCCAATTAAGGCCTTAATTTAAAAAAAAACTATAATTTAAGGACTTAATGATTTTTAATGACCCCCGGAAACCCTGTTGTTGTAAGAAATTGAGATGATTATGGTCAGTGTAAAGGAAAATTAAAATAAAACCAATTTGAACATGAAAATATATTTAAAATATGAAAAGGCTCCATTTTATACATCTCAAATGCAAAAAAAAGAGTGGGTTTTGGGGTGAGTTAGACTTTAAACATTCTAATTTATAATCCTATTGCCTGTTTTATCTTATTACTCCTTTGTTTTTATATTTTAACTGAAACATTTCAGACTCGTATCAAGAAATGTATCCATGGAATCAGTCATTCTTAAAGAGAAAAACGTTTTGTTACCGAGTCCCAAAGGCTTTAATTTTTAACAGTGACACATGGGAAAAATTCACAGTAAAACACCGAAATGAGGGGATTTTAAATCAGTCTGCAATGAGAAGGAGCAGATACTGCTAAGGCATCATTCTGCAGCAGCTGCTTCATCTCCCCAGCCTGAGTTTTGTGTTGGGTCTGCAGAAGCAGCTGAACACGCTTTAGGATACAGCAGTGAACCGGCAGAACAAGGAGAGGCTTACTGAGTTAGATCCTGGCCGCACTCGGCGCACAAACCCTTCATGACGATGGGATGGCTGCATTCTTCCATTCTGACGATGACGCCTCTGAGGACACAAGAAGAAATCACTTAAAACAATAAAGTCGTTCAGTCATCAAACAGCAGCCATATCTACAGATCGTTTAAAGCTTGATTTATTAGAGGGCTTTCTTTCCTCAGGTCTTAATGGACAATAAAAGCTAACCAGTTAGCGATGGCGATTCAGCAATAAATCTGCATTAAGGATCCAGAAACATGGCTGCTGAAAACAATCCTGGTCACATAAAAACTACGGAAGGACTCTTGCTCCATTATTATTGGAAGCAAAGAGTTTTATAAATGGAAATAAATAAATAAAAAATATTTGGTATTTTTCCTTACCAAATCCAATTAATTTATTTTTCTTATTTTCGTTTCATAATAAAATATGAAATGTATTACTTTCAAAAACTCTGATTACAATCATTTCCTCTGGGAGCCCAGACCATCATACCTTCACCTCCATGCTCAATAGATTGATTTTATTACAGACTCAAGGTCCAATATACATTAAAAGAAAACAGATACACTAAGAACAAAAAAAGACTAAAAGTACAACAGTGAAGGTGCCTACTCCTTCAGGAGGCAATTATACCAATGTCTCCAAAGCACAGATGAATATTTAACTGCACTATATTTGACATTGGTCATCAGTAAAATAGTTGGCGTGAAGGTTTGTTTTGAAATGATTACACATTCTATGTTCCAAATAAGTTAATCCAGGAAGCTTTTTGATTTTTGAATTAAAAAGCTGCCTGGATGGGAAGCAAAACATATCCAAACTTGGAAACAAAGTTTTTTTTTTTTTACTTTTTTGGAATAACTATGACCTGGGTCACTGAGAATCTTTACAAGCATATAAATTACATTTAAAAAGAGTTTAAATTAAAATAAAGAAACTGCTTTGTCTCACTGGTTCCATTAAATGCACGTTTTTTGCACAAGCTGCCAGCTTCTCAAACTTCAGCAGCTTGTTCAGGTTCTTTTTTTCTCCTGATTGTGAATTTGAACCTTTAACAGCTTGATATTAAGCTCCCCACTTCTCAGCAGCATTTGGTCTAACTTGGATCTTTTATCATAAGATGATGGATAGTAGAGCTGAAATAATCATGATTAATTGATGACTGAAACTAATTTAACCTTCAACTGGAGCATAACAGTCCATCAGCTGAAAGAGGGACCTACTATAAGGAGAAATAATGTATATATATATATATATATATATATATATATATATATATATATATATATATATATATATATATATATATATATATATAAACAGAACATATATAATCCTGTGTTTATTCTTCAAGGAACTTTTTTCTATCCGATTATTAATCCATTGATCCAAAATTTTTTTATAATTAATCTATAAATCGATTACAAAAATAACCGTTAGCTGCAGCTCTAACTGCTTTAACTGCTTATCTTGGCCCATAGCTGTAGCCTTCCCTCCACAAATCTTTCTCGTATTCATTTTCCTCTCCTTTCTTTGCTTGATAAGATTCTAACTGATTTCGTATAAAATAAAACACACTTAAATGGCGGGAAGTGTCCTGCCTGAGTCCAACCGCTTGGACATAAACTTATCTCCCACTTGTCAACCTGCTCAGTTGCTGCACGCTTTAAGTAGAGCCCAAACAACGCGAGATCTCGCTACATGGGATTTGGTTTTCAAAATAAAATTATCTAAATTCTTTTAACATCAATTCAAGTTAGAACGAGCCCAAAAGTAGATTATTTACATATAGTACGCTCTAATCAAATCTTTTTATCTTTTAAAAGGTAATCTAAACGCCTATTAGAAAGGGGATACATTTGTACTGATATGTGTAGCTTTTACTTTGAAGGGTCCGCTCAGAAGACGCTTTACCTTGACAGTGGAAGCCAGGGTAAAACTGCTAGCATCATTAGCCTTTAGCTAAAAGCCGTGTTATCGGTAGGTGTAACTGACAAGCTGCCTGAAGCCGTTCCATGCAGCTCAGCTAACATGAGCTAAAATTAGCCTGTGGAATCATTGACTCACCCGGGAGGAATGATTTGTCCGGGTTGACAGCATAACTCCTTCACTACTCCAGAACGGTCTGATTTCACCTTCTTCTCCGCCAGCCTAACGGCAGCCCCCGTCTCCTTATCCTGGGCTACGGGAGCACATAACGCGAGAACCGAGTCCACGTTAACCAGAGTCCCCGGCTTTACTTTCCACTCCAGAAGCCGGAGCGGAAGACCCGCGCTCGACCAGCGCATGTCCGCCACCTGTGCCGCGGGGCCCTGGTCCTCCGCGGCGGCTGCCGTCGCTGCTGCACCGCCGCTAGAATCTGCAGGAGGATCCTCCATCTGTCCCGCTCCGTTCCAAAATACACCTTTTATTTCTAAGTGCTCAACCTAAAACCTATCTACAACTCCCCACAGTGTGCAACGGTTCATTAAAACATGTAGCCTGGAGCTCTAATAGACGGTTAAAAACAAACGTTCATGCGGTTCTGAGCCCCTGAGGTCTGCACGGTGCAGCTCCGTTCGCTCTTCCCGCTCGTAAACAGGAAAGCGCGACGCTGCAGCGGCACGAGTCACACAGCTTCCGGTGGATGGGCGACATAAACAACACTCGGTACTTCAAAATAAAAGCTCAAGTAAAAGAAATAAAGAATTGTCTTCATTGAAGCCATGTTTACAGCACGAAGTACTGCTATGTTCAATCTTTAAGTTTTAAATTGTGTGTTAATTGAATAAAAAAGCAAACCTGTACTTAAAGTGTAGGTCAAGATTTTTTTTGTTTTTAATTTGAAGGCAAGACTAATTTCTTCATATTCTTTACATTCGTCAACTTTTTTTCAGATTAAATAATAGTAATAGTAATTAAATAATACTATCAAGGTGCTACTTTATTGCATCTCTTATACTATATCCATTGGTTGTGCTGTTCTTTTTACATCTCTTTGCAGGTGATG